CTGTTTGCTGGTCTCCGATAGGAGTCCAAGATGGCGGATCCGCGCTGTGTTAGCTGGTAGGGGACCTCTGCATGAATCTCTCCTTGCTCTCCGTTCTCTGTCAGTTTTCTCACTGCATTTGGTGCTTGGCTGAGTTCTTTATCTCTTCATTTGATGTTTTAGAGTTTCAAGATTGTTGTATTCTCTGTTCGGCTTAGTTTTTCGGATCTTTACTGTGGAGGGACGGCGTGGTGCTTCTGTCTAGGGTGCCATTTTGCCGGAACTCCCCTGACTCCATACTCTTAACCACTAAGAAGAGTGGTTAAGTCCCTGCCTACTTTGCACCCTACTCCCACCCCGACCCGTACCCTACCTGTCCAGGGACAAGATTCCACATGGTTTATTTCCTGGGCTCATTTAATGACTGATGTGTTCCAAAGGGGTAATGTCTGGAGAGGTAAGAATTTGATGCAACCACAAAACAGTGAAAAACCCAGAGTCCAATTAAAGAAGACACAGCAGGGAGAGAAATTGCACAGGGCTTGGAGGGTTGCTTTGTGACCTTGGCAAGTCACTTTGCACCATGGTAGCTATGGGTTAGATAGCTGCAGATAGGTTATGTTTGGTACACCGTGTTGCTAAAATTTTTATATTAAATGACAACATTTACAAATTTGGAGCTTTGCATGGAAAAGATTGGATTTCCTGCATCTCTTGAAAAATGGGAGTATCTGGTAACCTTGGCCTGCATTTCCTCACAGCAGCCATGGGTGGGAACTACGTATAGGTAGGGCATGCATCTCCAGGCTTCCCTGGCCAGTAGCAGGCTACCCCTGTAGATGTCTGAATTGACAGTCTTGGGTGGATAACAATATTGGTTAAGGATCTGGGTGCAGCAAGGGCTACAGGAGAAGTGGGGGAGTGATAGAGGGAGAGGGAGGTATCTAGAAGAACTCCCAGGTGTTTGACCTGAGCTAACTCACTGAAGTGGGATTCAGGTGGAGGAGTACATGTGGAGAAGGCGCTGAGTTTGGCTCAACGTTGAGGCTGAAACCCAGAGGGACATCCAGGTGAAGATGTCCGCTAGTCAGTCTGCTCCATGGTCCTGAGGCTCGGCAGAGAGATCTGAGCTACAGACATGGGTTTGAGAGTTATCAGCACATACCTGGGCTGCATTTGGGAGTGTGCGTGGCATGGAAAAAGGAAAGAGTGTAGGACTGAATCCTGGCAGCACTGACATTCATAGTATTGGTGAAAGGAGGAAGACCAGCGAAGGCTCCAGAAGGTTCAGCCAGAGGACACGGTGGGAAACCAGCAGAGAGCTCGTTACTGATCAGACTTTTGCCCACTTGCTTCACACTGGCCCCTGGTGCTTATGCCCAACTGGTACCGGCTGGCAGTCCTTGAAACTCACTATTCCAGTGAGCAGGACGGGTCACAGGGCAGGTTACTGCCCCATGTAACACTTCTGTTCTTCCATCTATAAATCAGGAATGCCCAGAACTCCCTGCCTCCAGGCTGGCCCCTGTCCTCTCTCTTCTCTGCCACTCCAGTGACATTCCTAACACACACATCTGACTATGTCATTCCCCATTCAAACACCTCTAGTGCTCCACATTGCCTCCACAGTGATATCCTCACCCGAGGCCCCAGCTTCTTTTCCACGAAGTTCTTCTCCTTCTCTCCCCACCCCCCACCCCACATACCCTGTGTTCCAGCCTCATTATCCGCTCACCATTTCCTGACTTGCCTTATGTTGTCCTACCTCTAAGCTTTTGCCCAGGCTATTCCCTCTGCCTGGAATTACTTCCTTTCCTGTCCCTGCTTCCACCTGTTCCTCCTTCAGTCCCAGCTCCAGGAGGTCTTCTGAAGTTCCCCATGTGAGAGACATCACTCCTTCCATAACATGTCAGTTTTTACCTCTGTTGTAGCAAAGTACTCTTTGCATCCAAGCCACATCATGTGTTCTATTTCCTCATTTCTTCCACAAGCATGTATTGAATATATCCAGCTCCCTGGCTTTGGATACATTGGGACAGGGCCTTGTGAATCTTCGTATAGCTCAGAGAAGAGAGTTTTTCACATAGTAGGACTTGAGAGGGGAGTGCTTAGGAGCTCCTGTGCAGCTCTGAGGCGTAGTGGTGAGGAACCCAGCTCTGAAGTCAAGGCTAGAATTGAATTCCAGCTGTGTGACCTCAGGCAAATGACTTCCCCTCTCTGAGTCTTGGTTTCCTCATTTGGGTTGTATAAATTAAATGAGGTAATGCATGTAATGTGCCCAGTAAGTAAGGCATTTAATATAACACTAAAAAAAAAAAAAAAGTAGTCAATTCAATTCCAACCCATAGTGACCCTATAGGACAGAGTAAAACTGCCCCATGGAGTTTCCAAGGCTGTAATCTTTACAGAAGCAGACTGCCACATCTTTCTCCTGCGGAGCAACTGGTGGGTTCAAATTGCTGACCTTTCAGTTAGCAGCCGGGCACTTAACCACTAGGCCACCAGGGCTGCTTTAATACAACATAGCTGCTGTTCTTACTACTCAGATGATTGTTATCCTGACTCCCTTCTTGATAGCATTGTTGAGAAGATTCATGCATGGACTTTGGACTAGGGGCCATTTCTGGCACATGATAGTGTTTAAAAAATGTTAGCAGTTGTTTTTATCATTATCGTTCTATGGTCGAGAAGAGTTCAGGAAAAACCACAGTGATGCCCCCAAATGGTTCACATCATTGGTGTAGCCCTTCTATGGTTTTCAAAGCACTTTTCCCAAGCCATACAACAGGCTGCTGAGGCTGGCAGGACACAGATGGTGGTCCACATTTAACACAAGGTGCAGCAGAGGCTCTCAGGTAAAATGCCTTGCCCAGGGTCTCACAGCCAGCACGTGGCAGTGGGGGAGCCCAGTGCTCTTTCCTCTGCTCCTGCCTGTCTACCCCTCAGTGAGGACCACGGGGCATCACCAGGCCCCACCTTTGCTTTTACCAACCTGGTACAGAGTAGGTACCTGGTAAGTATTTGTTGAATGACTGGCTGGCTACCTGACTGAGTGCCTTCTCTTTTCCAGGGGGACAGTGGGTGGCTTAGAAATTCAGAGAGCTTATACACCCATTAGCCCTGCCGACGCAAAAGGGTACTTTGAAGTTTTAATTAAGGTGAGTTGACTTCCGTGGATGCTCTTAAGATGCCATGGACTGGCACTTCCACTTGCCAGTTTGGTTAGGATGAGACAGTTCCCACTGGTGTGAAAAGCCCACATAGGAGGAGGCTGGTGTGAGGGTGGAGCAGGGGGAGGGGAAGGGGACCTTTCCTCAGCTCCTTCTTTGCTGGAAAGGGGCTTGTTAGACCACCAGTGCAAGGCATATTCCTGACAAATTTTACTGAAAGGAAGGTCAGACCAAGAAGGGTAAAGCTGCTTCATCGCACCTTTTTACCCATTGAAGGAGAAAGCTCAGGGAAGGGGGAGCCAAGTCATCGAGCACCTTATCGTGTGTGCTGGGCACTGGGGTCCAGAGATGAGTCAGACACAGCACCTACCCTCAAGGAGCCCACATCAGCACAGGTGACCAGACCAGGATGGTACAACATGAGAGACACTGTGACAGAGGAGGCCCAGCCCACCTCAGGGCAGCTGGGAGTGCAGGGAGGACAGGATGGCTTCCTAGTAGAGCTGTGAGTTGAGCTGTGTATTTAAGGAGAGGGGGAACTAGAGGGAAAATGTGGACAGGAGGCTCTAAGCAGGGGGAACAGCATGCACAATGGCAAAAAAGTCATGATTTGGGGAACTGTTAATCATTCATGCTGTAACAGAAGAGTATGTGTGTATTAGTGTCTTGGGGCTGCCATAACAAATGACCCCAAACTGGTTAGTGTAAAACTTACTCTGTCACAGCTATGGAGGCTAGAAGTCCAAAACGAAGGTGTCATCAGGGCCATGCTCTTTCTGAAGACTCTAGGAGAGAACCTGTTCCATGCCTTTCTGTTAGCTTCTGGTGTTGCCAGCAATCTTTGGCATTCTTTGGCTCGTAGATGCATCACTCCAATTTCTGCCTCTATTGTCTCGGTGTTCTCCCTGTGTGTCTCTCTGTGTCTCTTCTCCTCTTCTTTTGAGGACTCCAGTCATTGGATTAAGGGGCCACCCTACTCCAGTGTGACCTCATCTTAACTAATTACTTTTGCAATGATCCTATCTCCAAGTAAGGTCAATTCTGAGGTACCGAGAAGGATGTGAATTTTGTGAGGGGACACTATTCAACTCAGTACAGTGTGCCAAGGGGGCAGGATACAAATTAGAGAATCAGGCAAAAGGTGGGACACGGAGGACCTGTCATCACTGCTTAGGAAGAAGTAGGGGGTCAGGGGCATTTGAATTGGGCCTTGAAGAGTGAGCACAAATAGGCAGTGGCAGGGAATGGCATTCCAGGCCAAGAGGACAGATAACCAAAGGCAAGGAGGGGTGAAAAAGAACAGGGTGTTCTGGGAACTGCCCAGTCTGAAGTGGCTGGAGGGTAGGAGTTGACAGAGATGAGATGAACCAAGTGGGCCAGATACAGAACACTCCAGAGTCCTCGGGAGTAGGCAACAAATGTATAAGAAGCCTTGAAGGGCCAGTTATGTGGGAGAAATAATTACATTGAACCACATGAGATCGCTGACACTCGTAACATTTTTGACTTACAGAAACAGCAGTTTATGTGGGTCAGCCTGATACACAGTTCTAGATCATCGCTTCCCAAATGGAATCCTAGGGAACAGCAATATTTAAGAATAGCTTTCACATTCTTTATCTCCCTTGTAGGCCAGGAATTATTTTTCCCATTTCATTGATAAGCAAACTAAGGTCCCAGGAGGACCCAAGGCTCCATAGCTAGTGAGAAGTGCTGCTGGTGGGTGAGCCTTGGCCCCCTGACTCCAAGACCCCAGCACTGTCTCTTCCTCCCGCCTTTCCTGTGTGCCTTCAGAGGCAGTGTTTATTCGCTCACACATAAGCTTGGATGGGATTCCTTCTCCACGCAACTGTTTGTCTGGGAGATTCCACAAATCCTCTCCAAATGGCCTGCTTCCCCAAGCTGCTTGTCTGGGTGTGCTTCTGTTGAAAGGATAAGCCTGGAGACAGCTCTTCAGGGCAGCCAGATCTCTCCCAGCTGCAAGGCTGATTTTCTCCTTCGTTTACCGGAAAGCCTCTCTTTAGAGAGATGCTTAATTATCCCTAAGCCAATAGCTAGGAAGAGCCGGAAATGTCTTTGCAAATTGGAAGCCAGGCATGTTTTCTTTAGGTTTACCCCTCCATGTAGAAGGGAAGGAAAAACTCCCATTTGTCAGACACCTACTGTGTATTAGGCTCTACTTCTGTCTCTTTAGTCTCATGATCTCATTCCAACCTGATAGTTACTCTGCAGAGTAGATCATATTATCCACATTTTACATATGAAGAAACTGAAGCTCAAAAAGATGATGCCATTGTCCCAAGGCCCTCCAGGTAATATGATCCCAAGTGGAACAAAAGTTTAGTGTCCTTAGCAAGTGTGTATTGATCATTTACTCTGTGCCAAGCTCTGTGTGGGTGCTGAAGGCAGCAAGAAGAACCTTTCCCTTCTCAAGTGATGTCTGCCATAGGGCCTTTAAAGCCACAGCTGGGCTGTGCCTCCTCCAAGACTGGGGCCAGAAAACTAGGTGTGCTCTGAGACACAGTCTCTAGCATGTCAGGAGAAATACCCTTCCCTCCCTCCCAGACCTCCAGGTGAGCTGAGGACCACCCTCCAGGTACCCAAGGAAGTCTAGGATGGTACTGGAGGTGGCCTAAGAGCATGCCTGGTGACCAAAGCCCAGTCTCTTCTTTAAGCCTGGTTATAATCTCACTCCAACACCCTTCCAGTCCTGTCTCCCAGTGCTACCCCCTTACCCTCACCCACCATGACTCACCCCCAGAAGTCCCCTTGCTGTTCCCAGAACGTGACCTGGGCTGTCCTGCCCCTAACCCTCCCACACCTGATGCCCAGACTCCTCCCTGTGTTGCTGCTTACATCCCCAGTGAATGCAGTCTTGCCATCCTTCAAGGTCCAGCTCAAATGCTTCCTCCTCCAGGAAGCCATCTTCATCCCAACCCATGGTAGTGACCACAGCCTCCTTGGGGCTCTCTGAGCACTTTATCTCATGGAGTGTTAGGTAGTTTTTACCTTGTTTATGTCCAAGGCTTAGGTCTCTCCTAAATTGTGAGCTCCTTAAGCGGAGGGCCTAAATCTTTATTAATTAATTGTTTACTCAGATATAAAGTCCTTTCTGTGGTCGTGGTACTGGATGTCCTCATGGAGCTTACAGTCCAGCTGTCTCCCCTACAGCCCCAGCCCCAGAATAGGCAGGCACCCAGAAGATGGAGGCTGCCCTCCCTCCACTCCCATGGAGGAATCCCCTCTGCCACCCTCATTTTCTCATCCATCCAGGAGATGGTATAGGCTAGTCCACAAGTGTACTTCATTTTGACCTTAACCAGTTAACTAGTTGCAGCTGAGTTGATTCCAACTCATGGTGACCCCATGTGTTTCAGAGTAGAACTACCCCATAGAGTTTTCAATGGATGTAATCTTTCAGAAGACCTTTCTTCCGAGGCACATCTGGGTGGATTCAAACTGCCAGCCTTTCGATTAGTAGCCAAATGCTTAACTGTTTGTGCCACCCAGGGTCTCCAGTAGGGTTTTAAAATTTTGACTTAATTGGTGCCATTTCAAAAATGGGCGATTTTACATTAAAATATCGATTTCGGAGGAAATCAGATCTGGTAACATTGGCCCCACAAAGTGTGGACTGTAACTGCGAAATAGTTTCCCTCTTTAGAAGCAGCATTCACTCACCAATTTACCTCAGTCCCCACCACTCCCTGCTGTATCTCTGAGACTGAGACTGAGTGTTAATTAGCATTAATTATCTTATACCCCCTCTTCACTCAGTTATGTTACCTGCATGGCTCCTGTAGGCATTTGGGTTTGTGACCTTTGTGTTAAGGCTGTAAGCTCCATAGGTTTTCATCCCATGGGTGTCATCTGAGAAATGAGAATGACAGACCAACTGCATAGGATGATTGGGAAGATTAGATGAGATAACGCGTGTAAAGCAGTGAGCGTGCAGGAAGGGCTCCACGTTAATGGCAAATGTGGTTTGTAGTGGCAGCATGTGCCTGTCCCACTGAGGCCTCCCTGTGTTTGCTTCCAGTGCTACCAGACTGGGCTGATGTCCCGGTATGTTGAATCCTGGAGAACAGGAGACACAGCTTTCTGGAGAGGACCTTTTGGAGGCTTCTTCTATAAACCAAACCAGGTCAGTGCCAGCACACTAAATCCTCATGGCACCTCTCTCCACTTATCCTCCAGGACTGTAGTTTTTATGTTTCAGGCTATAGAATCACTGTGCTGTTTTTCCTGAGCTCAAACCCAATCCTAAAAGCATTCTCTTGAGAGGACATGGAATAGGCACTAATAAACAAAACTGCCTGCCCAAGCTCCAGACCATCCATGGCTGCTCATTAGAAAACCCAGACTCGTATACCTGGTATTTAGGATCCCTAGCTTCTGTAATAATGGAAGACACTGAAGGAAGAAGTCCAAGCTACACTGAAGGCATTGGTGAAAAACAAAGCTCCAGGAATTGACAAAACACCAACTGAGATGTTTCAACAAATGGAAGCAATGCTGGAAGTGCTCACTTGTCTATGCCAAGAAATTTGGAAGATAGCTACCTGGCCAACCGACTAGAAGAGATCCATATTTGTGCCCACTCCAATGAATGGTGATCAAATGGAATGTAGATATTATCAAACAATATTATTATTACACACAAGTAAAATTTTGCTGAAGATAATTAAAAAATGGTTGCAGCAGTACATCGAGAGGGAACTGTCAGAAATTCCAGCCAGATTCAGAAGAGGACATGGATCAAGGGACACCACTGCTGATGTCAGATGGATCCTGGCCAAAAGCAGAGGATACCAGAAAGATGTTTACCTGTGTTGTATTGACCATGCAGAGGCATTCGACTGTGTGGATCATAACAAATTATGGATAACATTATGAAGAACAAGAATTCCAGAACACTTAATTGTGCTCTTGAGTAACCTGTACATAGACCAAGAGGCAATCATTCGAACAAAACAAGGGGATACTGTGTGGTTTAAAATTAGGAAAGGTGTGCATCAGGTTTGTATCCTTTCACCAGATATTCAATTTGTATGCTGAGCAAATAATCTGAGAGGCTGGATTATGTGAAGAAGAACATGGCATCAGGATTGAAGGAAGACTCATTAACAACCTACAATATGCAGGTGACACAAACTTGCTTGCTCAAAGCAAAGAGGACTTGAAGCACTTACTGATAAAGATCAAAGACTACAGCCTTCAGTATGGAATAGACCTCAACATAAAGAGAATAAAAATCTTCACAACTGGACCAATAAGCAACATTATGATTAATGGAGAAAATATTGAAGTTGTCAAGGATTTCACTTTACTTGGATCCACAATCAATGCCCATGGAACTGGCAGTCAGGAAGTCAAAAGATGTATTGCATTGGGCAATTCTACTGCAAAAGACCTGTTAAAAGATGTCACCTTGAGGACTAAGGTGCGCCTGACCCAAGCCATGGTATTTTCAGTTGCCTCATATGCGTGTGAAAGCTGGACAATGAATAAGGAACACCGAAGAAAAATTGATGCCTTTGAATTATGGTGTTGGTGAAGAGTATTGAATATACCATGGACTGCCAGAAAAATGAACAAATCTGTCTTGGAAGAAGTACAGCCAGAATGCTCCTTAGAAGCGAGGATGGCAAGACTTTGCCTCACGTGCTTTGGACATGTTATCAGGAGGGACTAGTCCCTGGAGAAGCACATCATGCTTGGTAAAGTAGAGGGTCAGCAAAAAAGAGAAAGACCCTCAATGAGATGAATTGACACAGTGACTACAATGGTGGTCTCAAACATAGCAACGATTGTGAGGATGGCACAGGACTGGGCAGTATTTCATTCTGTCGTACACAGGGTTGCTACGAATCAGAACCAACTTGATGGCACCTGACAACAACTACAACAGCTTCAGTAAAGATTTACAGCTTTGGAAAGCCTATGGGGCAGTTCTCCGCTGTCCTGTAGGGTCACTATGAGTCAGAATCGACTTGATGGCAACAGGTTTTTATACCATCTGGGAGTCCCTGGGTGGTGCAAACAGTTAACACACCCGGCTCTAACTCAAAGATTGGAGGTTTAAGGCCACCCAGAGGCACCTCGGAAGAAAAGCCTGGTCATCTACTTCGGAAAAATGAGCCATTGAAAACCCTATGGAGCACAGTTCTACTCTGACATACGTGGAGTCACCACGAGCCAGAATCAACTTGCCAGCAACTGGTGGTGGCATACCATCTGATCCCCGAAATACCCTTTCAATTTCACATTCCAGTCACGTGACTAGAGAGACTGCTTTCTGAATGTGCTGTTTGGGGCCTGCTGCTTCCCAGCCCAGAAGGCTCTTTCCCTCATCATCACGACTTGTTCAAATCCTTCCCTGACTTTCCCAGGAAGATTAATCATTTCTAATCAGTTGGTGCCTGTCTGGAAGGCAATTGGCAGTATATACAGAGTCTTAAGAATCTTCAAATTCTTTGACCCATTAATTCCACCTCTGGATGTCCAGCCTGTGGAAGGAATCCAAAATGCTGACTCTTGCACATGTTCATTGCAACTTTATTTATAATGGCACGAAATTGGAGACAACTGAGTATCTAACAATAGGGAACGGTTAAGTAAACTGGGTTACAAGTACTTGATAAAATATGCCGGATCTGAAAATGATACTTATAAATGATATTATATGCTTATGTTATAAGATCAACTGACAAACACTAGGTACAAAATTGAATACACAATAGATTGAGAAAATGTTAAAATGCACAGAAAGAATATGAAAAGAAAATGCAATGCAATGTTAGCTGCTCTGGATGGTAGAATGATGGGTGATTTTTATTTTCTTCATTGTACTTTCCAAATTATCTGCAATGAACACCTATTACCTTTATAATTAGAAAAACAAAGGAAATTGAAAACAAATGGAAAAGAATGAATCATGCCTCCTTCTCTATTCTTTTTAATTTAAAAATAGCTTTTATTGGATTTTTTGTTATTACAAATGCAGTACGTGTTCATTACCAAAAAAAAAAAAAAAAATCAGCGGATACTGAGAGGCAAAAAGGAGAAAATAAAAAACACCCACAGGCCATCTCCCCAGGTACACCAGTCTTGGTACCTTGGTGTTATATCCTTCCTCTGCTGTGCATGGGTATAAGTACCAGCACACACGTACACACATAGATGTGTGTGTGTACAATAATAACATCAAAGGCTTATGTAGCATCTCCTATATGCCAGGTTCTCATCTTAGCACTTGCCACATAGTACCTCATTTAATCCTCACAACAGCTCTTAGTATTATTATCCCCACTTCACAGAGATGTGGTATGCATATATTAATACTCTTCCTCAGTCTTCTGGTAGTAGCCATGCTAAGCCTTATATGTTAGCTGAGTGTGTCCCTGTGTCCTCAGGCCGTTGAGAGCAGGGTCTGGGACTTGCTCCTGTTTCCCCCACAGTGTCTAGCCTGGTGCCTGGTGTACAGTGGACCCTTGGTGAACATCCTATTCCATGTGGCTGCTCCTGTGTGTGCACAGAACACCACTTGAAAACCCTGCATTCCATTTCTAGGGAGGCTGTAGGGCCAAGTGGTGAGGAAAGAGATGGTGTCTTACATGTGAACAGTCAGCCACAGGCTTGGCTTTGCCCTGTGAGGAAGCTCAGGGTGCTGGTACCACCTTCCTGGCCCTGTTTTGCCTCTTTGAGTCATCTTAGTTCCAGGTGGCTATGGCATCAGTCCTGAGGACTGGCACCTTAGCATCTGTCCATGCATTCATTCAATAGATGTTCACAAGTAGCCACCCTGGGCCAGGCCCATGGGGCCCCAGAGGTGGATCACATGAGACCCCTGTCCTCCAGAAGCACACAGTCTGATGGGAGAGACAGATACACAGTTGACAACACAGTGTAGTCAGCATTGTGAAGAGGGGTGCTCAGGGGTCTGTGGGCACAAAAGAAGGACCCCTCATGTGCCCCAGACTCAGGGAAGGCTTCCCAGAGGAGAACCTGAGCTGAGATCGGGACAAGAAGGGAGTGCAGCAGGCGCAAAGGCCTGGAGGCCAGAGGAGCACACGAACACTACACAGGATGACGGGGCTCGGCAACCACTGACGTGAGGAAGTCTAGTTTTATTAACCCTCAGACTCTTCACTGGGCACTGTGTCTGCATCATCTCATTTAGGCCTCATGACAATTCTGAGATAGGTGCTATTATTGGGGGAGGGGGGTGCTATTATTTTTTACCAGAAACCGAGGCTCAGAGAGGTGAAAGAACTTGCCCAGATCACACGGCTGAAGATTTATACCCAGGTCTTTGTGACCCTAGATACTCCCAGGAAGCAGTGTGGTGTGCAGTGACTGTCAGTAAAGCTTATCAAAGTTCTGGTTGCATTCACAGAGGCCCAGTCTCTAGAATGAGGGAGGTGAATATCTCACTGCACAACTCAGGCACTACCTGGAGGATTACCCTTCTTTAAGAGGCAGGCATGTGTCCAGAGGCCTAGAACCAGGAAATTGGTTCATTGAGGTGGGGCTGATGGATCTGGGGCCTCTTGGGTGGGAACTGACCTTTATTACATGGCTGTTCTGTGCCAGGCACTGTGCTAGGCACTTGAATATATGATCTCATTTAGTCTAGAGAAGAGCAAGCTCAGGGGGCCAAGCCTGGGCCCTCAGATCTCTGCAGGGCTGCCCTGAGGCAGAGGAATGAGACTGGAGGGCAGGGCTGGGATGGCAGGCTCTGGGCAAGGCTTTCGCAGGGGGAAGCTTCAAGCTCAATGTGAGATGAGGTGGACCTCCCTGGCAAGGGGGTTGGACCTGTAATGGAACAAGCTGCCATGGGAGGTAGTGAGTTTCCTGTCAGTGGAAGTGTGTGAGCAGAGAGCCCAGTGGGAGCTTTAGAAGGCAGCCAAACCACTTGTAGAATGGGATACACGGTTAAGTTCCCTGTCAGCCCCAATTCCATGATTTCTGTTACACAGACCTCACTTGATATAGCCTTTCACAAGCAAGTGTGGCTTCTTGGAGGGGGTAGATAGGTGGGACACCCAGGAAGGGCTGTGCGACCTATTCCAAGCAAGCCCAAGAAAAGGCCTAGTAGTAGGGTGCTTGGGGTGAAGCTCCTCTGTCCTAGGCGTCCCCCCAGCCTGCCCCTGTCTTGTTCTGTTCCCATCCCCCAGTATGGTGAGCTTCTCATGCTGGCTTCAGGCACAGGCCTGGCCCCCATGGTGCCCATCCTGCAGAGCATCACAGACAACGCAGACGACGAGACCTTCATCACGCTGGTTGGCTGCTTCAAGACCTTTGAGGGCATCTACTTGAAAACTTTCCTCCAGGAGCAGGCCCGCTTCTGGAACGTCCGCACCTTCTTTGTACTCAGCCAGGTGAGCCCAGGGTGGTAGTTCTTTTCCTGATTGAGACTTCGCAGGCCCCTTTGACCTGTCCTGAGGGCCTGCTGTCACCTCGCTACCCCATGCAGTACTACTAATCCCTGCCACTGATTGAGCACCTCCATGTGCCAGGCAAGAAAGGAAGGGATTATTGTGTTCATTACACACGTGAGGAAACTGAAGCTCTGAGAGGTGAAGGCGCTAGCCTGTGTCGTGCTGCTAGATGGAGGTTGAGCTAGGATGTGAGCGCAGGGCTGCCTGGTTCCAGAGCACCAGCTCTTACCCATCCCACTGCCTCCCATCTGCCCTTATCAGTTGTATGGGATGGGGTCTGGTGGTGGAGTCAGTGGGCCGCAGACATCCTGTAGGCTATGATGAGCAACTTGAGGCAGGGATGACGTGTCTAGATCACCATTCTCCCTCTGTGCTCAGCAGTGGTGGCCATAGAGTGGACACTCCATAATGACTGATTGAGTAACCTGGCTCCAAGTTCACTGCATTTATTAGGGTCTCTGTGGCACAAGTGTAAACACTGGGCTACTAGCTAAAAGGTTGATGGTTTAAACCCACCCAGAGGTGCCTCAGAAGACAGGCCTGGCTATCTGCTTCCAAAAGATCACAGCCTTGAAAACCCTGTGAGCAATTCTCCTCTGCACACATGGGGTCACAGTGAGTCAGAATCAACTCTATGGCTAGGATTCCAACCCCTGTCCCCCTCTCTCCAACCGGTCACTCTGCTTAGTCCAAGGAACTCTAAACAGCCACTTGCTATCTAGTCACCTCCAACTCATGGCAACCCCATGTGTGTCAGAGTAGAACTTTGCTCCATAGGGTTTTCAGTGGCTGATTTTTCAGCAGTAGATTGCCAGGCCTTTCTTCCGAGGCACCTCTGGGTCACTCAAACCTGCAGCCTTTTGCTTAGCAGCCAAGCATGTTAACCATTTGCACCACCAGGGACTCCTTGGTTTAGGAGGATCTGTAAAGGTGATGGTCATGTTCTGTTTTTTACTTGGTTGCTGGTTATATAGGTGTCTTCTCTCTCTAAAAATTTTTCAGACTATCCATACTTTATGATTTGTGTACTTTTCTTATGTGTATGTTAAACTTAAAATGTTTATTTAAAAAATAGAAGAAATTACTCCGAGTTAGAGATGGAGCTTTCATTTTGTGACCCTGAGGATGAGAGCCACAGCTAAGGCTAAAAAAAGCAGAAAGAGAAAGAGCCTGGATCCCTTGGGGTGTCCCGGAGCCTAGGACATCCCTGGAATACAACTTTTAGACTTTTAAAAAAAATTTTATTTTAATTATTTAATTATTATTTTTATTGTAAAAATATAAAGAACACAACATCCTCTAGCTCTTTTATGTGAGAGAAATAAACCCTTTTTCTGGGTGAAGGCACTGCTAGCTGGCATCTCTGTTACACCTAGCCAGATGTTATCCCAAACGATTCACTTTTTTAGTCCTGCCTCACACGCTAGAGACATCAGCTCCACAAAGCCAGGAACCATGTCTGTTTTGAACAGCTGTCTTATCCCCAGTGCCTAGAACAGTGCCTGGCACAGAGTGAGCACTCAGCAGGTCCTTGTCAGATGAATAAGTGAGTTGAAACCTTCAAACAAACAAACAAACAAAAATGATCTGAGGGTGATGGTGATGGATAACCTTGGAGTGATTCTGGGAGATCCACAGGCATGGGGAGAAAGCGTTTCCCACTGACAGGTGCAGCGGCCACTGGGACAGCGAGAAATGGTGAGAGTCTGCCTCCTGCTCCTGTGGCTGCCCTGCTTCAGTGTGGGGCCTGGGTGAAGTCCCTCCTCCTCCCTGTGCCTCACCTGTTATAGGAGCTGACAACCTGTCCACCCAGCCAGACCAAACCCGTTGCCATCGAGTCAATTTCTACTCATAGTGACCACATAGGACATAGTAGAACTACCCCATAGGGTTTCTAAAGCTGTAATCTTTACAGAAGGAGACTGCCACATCTTTCTCCTGTGGAGCAGCTAGTGGGTTCAAACCGCCAACCTTTTGGTTAGTAGCTGAGTGCTTTAACCACTGCACCACCAGAGCTCCTTCTAACCTGCTCACAGGCTTGTTATAAGGATGATAAGAGTTCGCACATGAGGCAGTACCTGACTCGTAGTAGAGCTTGGTGAAGGTTGTTTCCTACCTCTTCTGCTTCAGTTTCCTCATTAGGCAAAGAAAAGCTGGCTGTGTGAACGCCAAGGCCCTCCCCAGTAGTCACCCCCACTGTTTCTCATCTTCCCAGGAGAAGTCCCTGGAGCAGCTCCCCTGGAGTTACCGGGACAAGACACACCTTGGCCGCCTGGCGCAGGACCTGATGAAAGAGCTGGTCGGCTCCTGTCGCAGGAAGCCGTTTGCATTGGTCTGTGGCTCGGCCGAGTTCACCAAAGACATGGCCAGGTGCTTGCTGTGTGCGGGCCTGGCCAAGGACTCCTACTTCCTCTTCTAGCCCTGGTTTCCTTCCCAGGGGCCTGCTATGGGGACCCAGGAGGGAGCACTCCTGGAATCAGAAGACATGGAGCCCAGGCTTGGCTCTGCCACTAACTAGCCAGGTGACCTCGGGCAAGTGTCTACCTCTTCAAACATCCACTTCTTATCCACCCCGAGAGGTTAATAATAATACCTGGCATCCTGCTTGTGGAGGGAGGACAAGAGGCCATAAGCTCTAAGGAAAGTTAACCAGTCTGGGAGTCAGGGAGGACTTCTCAGAGGAAGCAACATCCAAGCTGAGCCCCAAGGATGGTAGGAGTTGGACAGGAGAAGAGGGTGGGTGAGGCTTCCTGGGTCCCTCAGGTGAGGGGCTGGCTAGGTGTTCCTGTGGGACCTGCCGTGTAATTACTGCTTCCCTGGAGACTGTCCCTGCTATAGCCTCAGCATTGGTGCAGAGTAGATGCCGGTAGGTATTTAGGGAATGGCCATAGAAGAGGCTAAGAGCTCTTTGGAGGAGGAACTTGCCTTATGTACCTCCAGTGCAATGAGCCTGACACCCTATAAAGTCTTGGCTTCTGTGACCTGCCCACATTCGCAGAGTTAGGTGGGGCCCTGGATTACCTCTGTTTTATATTGGCCCTAAGCCTTTCCTGCTGCAGATGGCTTTGCTCTGAGTCTCCCTTCCCTGGCTCGAGAGTCCAGCCCACAGACCTTTCCCCAGCAAAAAAAGAGGCACAGGAGGAAAATGCCCCTCCCTCCTCCTGCAGGCAGCGCTCAGCCTGCACCTTCAGCTCCTGCGCCCTGGCGACGGTTGCTATGGAGATCTAAAGATAGAGCAGGAATCAGGAGACCTGGGTCCGCCCTGCTCTGCCCACTGAGGGGCTACTGATTCAGGTCCACCCACCACACCCCTTCCATCCTGCATGAGGTGTGCCCTCCCCAGGGAACTGGGTGCTCCTTGGCAGCACACCACCGTTAATGATTTCTGCTTTTCACAGCCTGGGCTCCAGTGTGCTGCACCAGTCAGGCTGGCTACTGGCAGCCCCACAATCAGAGACTAGTAAGCCATGGAATCTTAGGATCAGGGAACCATGGAATCCTGGATTTGACAGGCATAGAATCAGTCTTCATCAGATCAAAGCTGAAAGTTCAGAATTCCAAAAATCATCCAGTCTAATAGACTCTGTATAAATGGGGAAAGTTAGGCCCAATAAGTATGAATGGCTTGCCCAGAGTAAAGCAGTTAATGGCAGAGCCAGCACTAGAAGCCAGGTCTCCTCATTTCAACCCCACACTCATACCTCTGCACCGATTGTGTTCAAACTGGACTCCTTAGGCCACGAGGGTTCCTCGGGTGGCGGCAGTGGTGGGATGGCCAGGTGGGAATTCCAGGCCTCCTGTAACCAAACAGTTCTACTTTTATTCCATTTGTATATTGGACCATGGAGTAATTCTTTTAAAAAAGGGAATGGGTTGGGGGAGGTGGCTTCCTCCCCTGCCCAAAAACTTACAGAAAGTCTCTGCTGTGGTTTTTTCAGTAAATATTCATGACAGTAGTTTGGGGATGGTGCAGAAGTTTTCAAACTATTTCATAGGGAGGATTCCACAGTCAAATCAGTGTAGGGGAATACTGCATGTGACCTCTGAGAATCACAATGCATGTTAGCATATTAAAAAAAAAACAACAACAGTTGCCATCGAGTGGATTCTGACTCATGGTGACCCCGTGTGTGCAGAGTAGAACTGCTCTGTAGCATTTTCAAGGCTGTGACCTTTTGGAAGCAGATTGCAAGCCTTTCTTCTGAGGCAGCTCTGAGTGAGTTGGAACCACCAGCCTTTGTTAGTAGTTCAGCGCTAACCCGTTTGCAGCACCCAGGGACTCATCATCATATTAAGGCTCTGAAAAGACCAATGGTAAAGAACCTTTTTCATTTTCTTTAACCCAGAGTTTCTCAAGCCTGTCTAACTTCGGAACACTTTATCTTCCAGAGTCTTTTGAGACCAGCATTCCATGGAATACACACTGGGGAAATGCTGGTCTCTTTCATAGCTTGTTTCAGCAAAAGGTAGTGTGAATGGGAAAGGCCAGAGCAGGAACTGTGTCTGTTACTGCCTAGCCCTGTGACCTGGATGAAACACTTTCCCGCTCTCAGGACCTCTGAAATCTGGGAGTCTCCCTCCGCCCAGTCCTCTCCCTCAGTTAGCAAGTCCTATCGTCTCTGCATCACCTGTCATCACAAATGCTCCTGAAGTGTCTGTGATGAGCCAGACTGTTCTAGGCACCAAGGAAACAACAGTGAACAGGCATGTGCAGCCCTTTTTTCCATCAGGAAGCTTGCAGCCTATTGAGGAAGGCAGAAATTATACTTGTAATTCTAAAAGTGGTGAGTGCTGTAAAAAGAGAAGTAGGGAATGCTGGGAGAGTGGATGCCAAAGACTTAGCCTGGCCTGAGGAGGGTCAGGGAACCACTGTTGCCATGGACACTGGAAACTTCAAAGGCAATACTCTCGCTCATAAGTAGGGGTATTAAGGGTGTCCCCACTTAAGGGGTAGAGGGCCTGGGGTAATCCTTGTATGTCTATCCTTCTCCCAGCCCTCTGCTGTTCAGATACTAGACAGAGCCACCCAGTGACAGCCCGCAGCCCCTGTTGCCTTGAATGGGTTGCCCTCCCGTTCCCCTCCTTCCATATTGGATCAGTGCAATCTGGATACTGGTGGAATCTCAGCATGGAACATTGGTGAGGATCCAGCCGTGCCCTTGATCCCAAGATGCCAGAAGGGCTCATATGTGTCCAGAAACATGAGCACTCATGGTTGGGTGCCATGCCTCACAAGATAGAGAGTCCAAGAAGAGAAGAGGACTGGTTGACATGTGTGAGGACGGACTTCCTTGAATTGGGGATGAGGTTCCCATCAGCAGGCCCATTCCTCGCATTTCTCCTGATAATATCCCAGCCACATGCTGTGTGATGTGTGCTGTTGGGACCATGGCCACTGTGGAAATGTTGCTGTGGGAGAAGAGAGGAGATTCAGGCTCACTGAGCCTTTGAGTTAGACATGCCATGCTTGGGGTTTTGCCTGCTCCAGGGATGCCAAAGGCATCAGAGGTCAATGAGTGTCTTAAAGATTCTGTGAGCCAGACAATCTCTGTCTTTTCTGTACGAGTCTGGAGCTTCAGGAAGGTGACAGCTACCAAAGGGACAGGGACAGATTCTTGGTAGCAAAAACTACTGCTTTACTTCAGCCCTCATCATGTTTTCCTGCAGCACTTGAACATTCCCCCCAATTGGTTTCCCAGGCTCCAGATTCTCCCTCCAAGCCCCCTCCAGACTGCAGCCGCACTGATTAATTCGCAGCCCTGAGACTGCCACTCCCCTGCTTAAAACCTTTTAATGGCTCCCTATTTCCTTTAGGGTATGGTGTAAATGCCTTAGCCTGGCGTTCAGTTGTGCTTACCTCCCACCCCCAACTCTTCGATTCCGATCATGGTCCCTTCACCTTTGCTTCTCCCTCTGCCTGGACCATCCTTCCACTTTCCTGCCTTCTACTTGGCTTTCTTTGCCTCCTCATCTTTCTCATCTCGGGGACCACTTCCTCTGGGAAGCCTTGCCTTCCTTTTCCACTCCAGACTAGAGTAGGGGCCTCCTTAGTGAGCAGAGATTCCTGTGTTGGTCTGTTGCTGCACCCACTGGGCTGTCTTCATTTGCATGTGAGCACACGAAGGGCCTACACCGTGGCCTCTTCATTGTATCCTGAATGTCAAAGGTTCTTAGTCCATCCTTCTTGGTTAAGCGATCTGCTGTTAACCAAAAGGTTGATAGTTCATACCCACCCAGCCACTCGGTGGGAGAAAGACCTGGTGATCTGTTTCCATAAAGATTACAGCCAGGAAAGCCCTATGGAGCAGTTCTACTCTGTCACATCGGGTCGCCATGAATCGGAATCGGCTTGAGGTTGCCCAACAACAACAACAGTACTCAGGGAGCACTTTACAGGTTGTACAGTGCTTTTCATCTATTTTGAAGCCTCTAATCTTCACCAGAGTGCATGCTATTTTATTATCCCAGTTTATTGATGAGGAAACTAAGCTTCTGAGACATTAAGCAGTTCTCCAAAGTCATGCAGGGGGCCCTACATGTTGTAATTGTTGTTAAGGGTTATATGTGACACATGAGTGCCGCAGGAGACATGTACAAAGTCTATTATTACTGCATGGTTTGAAATAGCAAAGAATAAAAACTACCTCTATGTCCATCAGTAGGAGAACAGAATACACTGTTCTATATTCATACAGTGGAATACCATTCAGCAGTTAAAATGAGTGAACTAGATCTACGTATAATAACATAGTCTAAATCCTGAAAGCATAATAACTGAGTGAAAAGCAAATTGTAAAAGGATAGGTACAGTGAGATGCCCGTGTTTGGAAATTTTAAAAACACAAAATGATGCTAAATGCTCAGGAAGAAGACATAGCAACTTCAGGATAGTGGTGATCTCAGGTTAGAGGTAAGGGAAGGCGAGGGGTGGAGGTGCCTTTAGCTGTGTCTGTACTATTGCATCACAAAGACATTTGAAATGAATATGGTAAACCTGGGAGATGGGTTCACTGATGTCTGCTATGTTGTTTTCTGTATTTTTCTCTGTTTGAAATAGTTCCCTAAAGATAGATTTTTAAAAAGATTACATGTTATATCACCTGTGAAGCACCTGGTCAGTGGTTTCCGGAAACGGGGTTTAAAAACATTCATTCCCTCTCTGCCTCCCCAGAACAGGCTATGCCCTTTCATGCCTCCAAGCTGTTCAGTCATTAATTTAAAAATATTTTTGAGCACCTGTTGTGTGCCAGGCCCTGTTCTAGGCATCGGAGATACAGCAGTAAATAGTATAAACAATTCCCAGTACGCAGAGCTTACGTGCCGTTCCTTCTGCCTGTTCCATTTCTTTTCCTGGTAAATTCAAACCAAAATGACTTGCCAAACATTGTAGTTTGCGACTCTTTTTTTTCTTCCCCCTTC